ATGACACTGAAAGGTCAAAGATTGGAGAGCCTCAGACTGTCTGCAGCTTCTTGCATTTTATATTGTAGTTTTTCTGAGTCTGGCAACTGTCACATTTATAACTCAGGGATGCTAAAGAACTGAGTATCCAACATATGAAAATAACGGATAATTTAATTGTAAGATCGGAGGTATATATTGTGTGGACAGAGCACATTATTATCTGTACACTGAGGCAAAGACTAAAACCTGATACTGACACTATACTTTTTTCCTGATGTGATTCACCCAGTTCACCCACTTGACACCCTCTACAGTTAATTTTAGTCTAACACGGGCTACAAATCATTTCCACTCATTTAACTTCTCCTGACATATGACTATAAAAGCCTGGTGACAGCAGTGTTGAGTCAATATAGTAGAGTAGTCACTTTGTCTCATAAAGGACAGAAGGCCTAATGAGAGTTTGTCAAACAGCGCATCACAAGTTTAACCCAGTGCTGCCCTTATTTCTGTCTCCATCTGTCCCCAAGCACAGGGTGACGTATGCTCCAAAGGGCTCCCATTACAATGGCAGTCTGTCTCCTTCAGAGAGGCCACCGATAGAATTACACCTGTGGGATTCCTATTTAAAGTGCACGATGATGATAATGATGATAATGATAATGATTGGAGAGTATGGGATGCTAAGAACAGAGTGAGGGAGGTCATTAAGTGTGAAATAAACAGGGATGTAGGGTTTTTGGACAAACAGATGCCCTTAGGTGCAAAAAGCATGTTGTATGTAAACAGATAATGAACAGTGGGTGTAAATTTCAGGTGTGCTTGGGGTTAATGTAGCGATTGTTATGTGCTGGGTGTGACAGAGGCTGATAATGTAACGCAGGTTGGCTGTCAACAAACTCTCTTTGTATCGTTCTACAAAACACTTCCCAGAAGAAAAATTTGGGATGTTGTGCAAAATGTAAACAACGACATAAGTCAATATTTAAATCACTTAGAAAAAAAATGGAGGCATCCAAGGACAACAAACCTATCACTTAAAAAAAAAAATGTGTCAGTGCAATCCTTTGCATGTTTTTGTTTCTGCTATTTCTGTATCTCATCCATCACCTTATTGTGTCCCCAGAAACACATCCATTTTATTTTGGAATGTTTTAGCATTTTTCTTTTTATTTCTGTTGTTTCATTCAGCTTTTGCTGGGGTTTTTTTCCTACTTCCGTTGTGTTTTATTCAACTTATGTTGTGTTTTGTGTGCTTTTTCAATGTTTTGTTGCAGTCCATTTGACCTCTCAAGGCCACCATAGAAAGTTCAATTCTCAAGACTTTATAAGCCATCTATTAACCATGAAATACATGTGGGTAGATATCAAAAGACATCTTGAAATGGGTGAATTCACAATGTAATACCCATCCAGATCTGATCTATCTGCTAGTGCAGTTGCAAATACAAATTAGACTCCTGGAAAAAGAAAATTGACTTCATATAGAAGTCAGATACTGCATCGAGAAAGTTTCAAAATCTTTAAAAAGGAAATACAATGTAATGATATTTACTGTTGCCTTAGGATACATTTTAATATAAACAGTAATAATAATAGTAAATTTTGTCATAATAAAGTTTGTCTGTCCAAATACAAATAGTATGGTATACTCTGTAAAGGTTTACGGAGTGCTGTAAATGACCTTAGAAGAGTTGACCTAGCAGTGTAGCAGACTTCATTGGCATCTCCTGTCTCCTGACAGTCTGATGTCAGCAAAGAGCCATTGGTGTGTTCAGACGCAAACTCTGAGTCTCCTCCAGACTCCAACCGCAGACCATCTACAAATCAATAACCATACATTACAATACACTGTCAGCTACTGTCAGTAAGTCATGCTAAGTGAACAAGTAATTCTGACTGCAACTATTACCTTCTGGACTGTGAGATTCACTATCTTTTTCATTTTCATTTAGGTCGGAAACAGAGGCCACCTGCAGTATCTGGTGTGGAAAAGAACATTTTGAAGATAAAGGAGAAGAAATTTTTTTAAACAAAATTATAAATGAAAGTGTAACAAAAGAAATACACATCCTGAAGCTTGTGGAAAATAAAAGAAGAAATATCAATAAACAGAGAGCCATTTGTTTAATCACCATCTATGATCAAGTTGGTCGGTAGACTTTCCACTGATTGCAACACCAAACTTACAGAATGTTACAGTTCTGGAAAAAGTCAATTTTCATGCTTACCAGTTGTGCAAATGTTGTCACTTTTAATCGTTTGAAGATTTCATCTTTTCGATACCTGTAATCTTAAATGGAAAGAAAACAAATGCATGAATCTAATATATATGCAACGCTGAAAACCATCAGTCTTGATGATAGCTGCTCTTTTTGAATAACCCTTGAAGATGAACGTAAATGCTTCCTGTGAAGTCTAATGTAATTGATAAGTGTGAACCAAAGAGTATAATAGAGTTAGCCACTGCGTGCAGCCTTAGTAGATCAAATTCACCTGGGTCTATCAGGTCCTGTATTTCTTTATCCCCTTCCATTGCTTCACAGAGGCTACGTCCACACTGGACCAGATAGATTTGAAAACGCCCCGCATCCACACTAGCGTTTTCAGTCGCTATGCCCACACGTACCCGGGTATTTTTGAAAACGCAGATTTTTCTATGCGTTTGCACCTTTCGTCCACACGTAAACGGCGTTTTTGATCACTGAAAACGGAGATTTTTAAAAACTCCGGCCAGGGTGGATATTTTCTAAAACTCCGTTTTTGCATTTACGTGTGGACGAGAAAAACAGAGAAAACGCAGTGTCAAAGATGTGCGCCTTTTTTGACGTCACACTGTGCGCCACGTTATTGTTTCGGTGAAATGAATTCCTACAATACTGTTACTGTTAATTGTACTCTCTGCAGTGTTTAAATTCTTACATATATACACACATTTACTGTCCAGAAATTTGATTTATTAAACTGGGCTATATCAATAGGTTAGCACCTCACTCTTTTACCTTTTGACAGTACAAAGAGAGCAAGGAGACACCCATTGATTATTAAGAAATTGGGAGTGCCAGGTTGGGAAATCTTGCCTTGAATGTACAGTAAACAGGTCTTGTGCACTAAAGGAAAGTGCATGGATCTTAGAGTTCTGCCAAGGTGTGCTATTTGAGCCATGTTTTCACTTTATAAAGAAAAGACCTCATTTGTAACTTGCCACAAGGCTGAACTGATGTTACATGACCAATAGTCAAAAGTAGCAGGCTAGCAGACCAGTGGGCAGAACAACTGTTTTGTACTACTTGGGTCAAAAATGTTGCCATTGTCAAGGAAGACACTGAAACTGTAAAAATAATCGATTTTTATTGTAACTGGTGAGAAAGATAAAGTATAGATCTCGGTTATAGAAAATAAAAGAGTAAGGAATAAGTATAGTTGGTTATCGCCTAAGAGAGCTGTTATTTTTGATGCAACTGTGTGGGAGGTGGCACAAGGGGCGGTACATTAAACAGGGATTTTGTACTATTATGACCAGCTGCCTGGAGGAACAGATGTTTTGTGTTTCACTTAGGCCCAGTGGAGTAAGCAGGTGCACATCTCAGTCCATGCATGCAGAATACTTGTGTGCAGGAACACTGATATGTGAGTTTTAGGACTGAGAGTGACTGGTAGTCATTAAGAAGCCAGATAAATGTATCAGAGCATTAATGATCCACGTTTAATACCTTTTTGTTGTTCTTTTATTGGGTGTTTGTTTGTCCAGAAAGGCTTTTGCATGGATGCTTGTTTTCATGGTTTACAGTCAAAAGGATCACATATGGAATCATTCAGAGTGCTTTTAATATTGATGCACACTGCTGTTATGAGAACGCTTATAAGGATACTGCAATCACGAAATTCTTAAAGACAGGTTACTCACTTTTTTTAATCTCCTCCAGTCTTTCCATATACCTCGTGAGACTACATCCTGGGAAATAAACCGTGACATTAACATATATAAGGAAGTTAAAGAGCATTCAAACTGTGTGTCAAAATAAGCTACACAGTCACGTAAATCTTGCATATGTACCTGTGTCAAGCCTGGTTTTCACATGCTCATACTTTGCGTTTTTCGGTATCTTTTTCTTCATGTACTGCAGGGAGAAAAGAACGACACGTTAGCGTTAGCTGTGATAGCTTAAACGCAAATCGTACAGTCTAGAATAAAGAGCACCTTTTCAATAGTAGTGAGTAATCTAGCTAATGCTGTCACTTTAACAGGTGCACTACCGTTGATATGGTAACACTGACACCAATATAGCCGACTAGCTACCTCTTTGGAAGGGCTACATTATTTTTTGTTGCTCATGCTGTAGCCGCATTAAGTTAATGGATTTTTCGACAGTGCAGTAATGCCACTTAGCGTGTAAATAAAATAACTAGTGCTGTTTTTCTTCCCCAACGTTACCTCTGCGTTGCCGATGCTCCGATTCAGCGACATCTTTTTAAACCGCAATATCAAAAGTCCAGTTTCAAGGTTAACAATCTCAGTTTTGATTCGTCAATGTTTTTTCCCCGACCAATCAGGTAAGGTTATACTCTGGCGCTCTGTCGACATAGTGGTTTGGCTAGTTGCTTAGCAGCTAAAGACGCTCCACCCATGACATGGCGCGTTCAGGTCTCGTTTTTTTTTTTAGGTCAAAAGCACAACAAATACAGTTTGCAGAATATTTCCGTGGTTTATGAATTTGGTATGTTCTACCCGATATTTTTACGCAGTCTTTCCTCTTTGTTGTTTAACACAATATGCTATGCTCGTTTTTTATATTTGTACGACACATAATTACAGTAAGCCCTTAAATCCTTAATATGACACCAGAGTTTGAATAGAATAATTCAGTAATAATAGCAATACTATTTTGTTCACTTTGAGTGATTTTTCTGTATTTGTGAATGGTTTCTGTGCTTAAGTATTATCTTGTAAAGATGGTTTCCAGTGAAGATTTTTACGTTTACTATTTTAACATGTGTCATGAATGCAACACCAGTCTTTGCTACAGAACACGGGTTGTTTTTTGTTTTCGTTTTAGCTTAACGCTGCAGATGAAAGGTTCAATTCTGTTATGCGTTTAACGAAACTCATTGTTTATTTTTGACCTCGGAAACCATAAAGTACGACGTGAATTCAGCTTACTGAAAAAAAGTGTTGAGCTATTATATCTGAGTTCGATAGGCCAGGTCTGAACGAGTTGCTGGACGCGCAGTGCTGTGTTGACAGTCATGGAGGTGCAGATGAGCGGGTTAGTTCAAATTTCCTTCAGACAACTTTAGCACTTTTACTCAACACACACAATGGCGTCTGTTATGGTAAGTATATTTGTTTTAAAACTTGCGTTAAAAGAAATGTGCGAAACTTTGTGTACATAACGTCATATGGCGCTAATATTAGCCGAGTCGGCAAGTTTCTTTTAGCTACGTCTGCTAAGAGGATTTACTGATTCGGCTGTCACACGGGGTCCTCTATATTAACTTATTAAAGCATCGCTTTACACCTGCCTTTCTTCAGCTTCGCCAAGCGTAATGTTTGTAGTGTCGGACGACCACGCAGCAAAGCAGGGAAGTAAAGACTACCACGCTTATCCAGTAGACTTGAGTCTGAGCAAGTTGTCCCTAACGACACGAAAAGAGTGAAAGTGTTCATGAAGCAGAGCAACGCCAGAGTGTCATTCGAAAATCAAAGTCAAATGTTTTACTATAAGCGCTGAGTTTTCCTATTTCGAAGAAGTTAGAAATGATTTATTGTTTACACAGCCTACTTTCCTGTCAAGATGATTTGTTTTTTAAAACAATGCACGCAGATTTTTCTACACTAATTGAGCTTTGTAATTGAAGGAGGATCCTACGTTGGAGAGGCACTTTAAGGGACACAAAGATGCTGTCACTTGTGCAGACTTCAATCCGAACCGCAAACAACTGGGTAACCCTTACTTTTCAAATGCAGACATGCTTTTAACATCATGCATATATTTGCTCTAGTCTTGTGTCATTCTTTTGACCTTGAAATAACGTTATAAAAAAGAGAAAGAGCATGTTGACATTGCTAGGTATTTCAAATTTTTATTGATAATATTTGAACTAAAATGAACAGATTTAAGCTATTTTTTTAGAACTAGGCAAGTAATATTGAAACCACCTATCCTGTGTTCCAAAAAGGGCTGTTTTAATGGGTGGACATTTAACCTGAACGTGTCCAATTTTTCCTATGTTTTTGCATTATTTCTCTAACAAAGGCCATCTGTACTGATTGTACTGACGGGAGTTTCATTTCATTTTTTGTTTGAAATGTCTCCATGTGTCTTTGTTACCTTTTGTCCCTCCAGCCTCAGGGTCATTAGATAAAAACTTGATGATATGGAATTTGGCTCCCAAAGCGAGGGCCTTTCAATTTGTTGGGCACCAGGATGTGATCACTGGGGTGCAATTCTCTCCATCTGGCAATCTGGTGGCTTCTTCTTCCAAGGACAGAACAGTCAGACTGTGGACACCTTCAATGTAAGCATCAGTCACTTTATCCAAGACATGTTTAACCTGTGAATTAAAACTCGGTCCAATAACATGCAGTTTGGTGTATAAATTAATGTCTTGCAGAGATTTGGCAACAAAAATAAAATGGCTGTATTTAGTTATTTTCTGTGCATCTCATAGGAAAGGCGAGTCGACAGTGTTCAAAGCCCACACAGCTGCTGTACGCAGTGTTGCCTTCTCCCATGATGGCCAGAGACTGGTGACAGCATCAGATGACAAGTCTGTTAAAGTGTGGAGTGTTCACCGGCAGTGCTTCATCTACTCCCTCAATCAGCACACTAACTGGGTGCGCTGTGCTAGGTACCAAAGAGCACATAAATCCCTATAGTCTATTTTCATGCAGTTGTGTTATAACTTACTTGACATTTGGTTTGTATGTTTGAGCTCGTTTGAATTTCCAATATAGTCAAAGAAGTTAATATGTTACATAGAGTTGTGATTAAAAGTTTACATACAGCTCATTGGTATAAATCTCAGCAAACCTTTTAGTCTTTTAGTGATTTCTTTGAACTGTTCTTTTTCCCAATCCACTCAGGGTTAGAGAAGACCAATATTTATTTGAATGTCATTCAGAAAGTTGCACATCAACCAGATATTTTTGGTAGTCATCAACAAAGATGTTTCACCACTCTTCCTGAGTTCATTTAAATTGCTTGTTTTTTGGCACAGACCTGGATTTTTAGGGGAAGGTGACAACTTTTCAGTTGTGTGAGGTCGTGACTTAATGTTGGCCTGCTTTATCCATTCCAAAACCAGCTTTGTTGTGTGTTTGCAATCATTTTCCTGTTGGAATACCTAATTGCGGAGTTGCAGAAATTGGAGGTAGCCCTCCTTCTTCATTTTTTACTTTTATCTACTTTTTGCAGTCTAAGAGTACAGCCGGCAGCAAAACGGCCCCATAGCAGGATGATACCACCACCATGCTTGTGCAAAATTGTTTGAACTGAGGATTTTGGAATCTGCAGTTGTGTAGAAATGGATCCATGACATTCTCATTGGATCTTAACTTGGACTTTTCCCATTGTTCTTATATTGATCAGTTCAATAAGTGCTGTCAAAAAAGTCCAGTTGTAGTTAATAGGTAAGTTAATAGGTTTTGGTCTTTTTAAGTTAGAAAACATTGTAGAACCTTCAGCATCCCCTTATTAAAATATTTAAGTGATTGGGTGTATATATTTAAGCCTGTATGTGTACTTCTGTACACTTAAAAATGAATCCAAAATAAATGTATACCCAGTTCTGTTTTTTTGCCTTAATTTAATCTGTTTGCTGTACAATCATTCCACCCTGGAAAAAGAATAGTTCAAAGCAGACATTAAAAACCCAGAATTGAGAGTATTGAGGAAAAACATTGAGCAAACGTCTGATCATAACTGTATAAACAACTCACTGATCAACTGAGTGTTTTTAACTATATGAATGTGAAACAGCACAATACTGCAAAAAGTGGATTTGAACTTTTTCTGTATTATCGTTGTGTGTTTATTTCCTGTAGATTTTCTCCGGATGGCAGAATCATAGCTTCCTGTGGGGATGACCGGACTGTCCGGCTTTGGGACACATCTACCAAACACTGCATCAACTGTTTGACCGACTGTGGAGGGTAAAATCTCTCCAAAAACTGATCTAGTGTTCTCTTTTCTCAGTATGTTTCATATAAGTTTTGTGCATCAGTTACTTGAAATTCAAAATTCAATTTGTTGTGTTAATACAGTCACATTTTCTCTTTGATGAATTTTGCGCATACACTTTTCAAAAATGTATTAAGCTGCATATTTTTCTTAATGAAGAGATATCCCGATTTGAGGGTATTGGTTGTGTTTGAAAATTTAGAAGCTGGATTGTAAAGTGGTGAAAGGCCAGAACATCATTAGATGTAATTTGATGTGAAAACTAACTCGCCTATTTTTGCTCTCCTATTCATGGCCACTGATTGACTTCTTTTTTTGTTTTTGTTTTCTAAACCCCAGATCAGCAACATTTGTTGATTTCAACTCCAGTGGTACCTGTATTGCATCGTCAGGAGCTGACAGTACTTTGAAAATCTGGGATTTACGGACCAACAAGCTTATTCAGCATTATCGTGGTACGATTTTTCTTTCATCTTGTATAAACAAGTGTCTAAAATATCCTACAGTTAAGACTTTAATTGCATTTCTAGATTACTAGGTATACAGTTAATTCACCTGATTTAAGTTTTCATTTAAAATTCAATTTTATATGTGTATTTTTGTGGTTGTGGCTTATTTTTTGTACAATTGGATCAGTTCATAGTGCAGGAATCAACAGTTTTTCCTTCCACCCATCCAACAACTATGTGATAAGTGGTTCGAATGATGGCACTATTAAGATATTGGACCTGTTGGAAGGGCGTCTGATCTACACTCTTCATGGGCACAAGGTGATGCTTAAAGAAATGTCCATTTTATTAGTTCTTCATAGTGTTTGATTGTAGTCTTTGACATTCTTTAATATATTTTATTAGGGTGCTGTGATCACTGTGGCCTTTTCCAGGGCTGGAGATGTCTTTGCCTCAGGAGGAGCTGACAGTCAGGTTCTGCACGATGACTGAACAATGAATTACCCAAATCATTCGAGGTCATATCTTCACTGTTGGAAAATGTGCTGAATTTGGGTCATGTGGTTGCATCTTGGTTGCTTAGGTGCTGCTGTGGAAGACTAACTTTGACAGCAGGTCATATCAGGATGTCTTACTTCAACACAGCCGGAGGTCGACACCAGATCCCCCACCCCACCTGTCTGACATTCATCCCAGGGGACCACACCTTCATCACCCACAGCCTACAGCCATTCAGGTCAGTCTTGTTTCACTTCATTAATACTAACAGACCATCAAAACTCTGTGCTATTAAACATTTTTTTAGGCATTTGCCATTTTGATATAAACAGCAGATGTAAACATTTAAAGATCGTACTTTGTTTGGAAGGCACAGTGCTTGCTGCTTAATTACATGTTTTGTTGCCAGGTCAGTCCAGCAGTAAAAGACACCAGATCAACTGAGCCACATGTCATACAGCTGGGACAGTCTGTCCATGGCAACATGGTAAGCTAATGCAGATTTCAACACAACTAAACCGTAGGATATTTAGTCGGGTGTCTATGTAGATTATTATTTAGTGTGTGCATAAAAATGACTTGAAACACAAACATATTGAAATACGGAAACAGCAATATTTAACTACTACTCAAGATACTGATGAAAAATGTTCTTATAGTGTCTATGAGAACATTTTATAGACGACCTAAACTAATTCATACTTGTATCATTTGGAGGGGATGCGCATATCACCACCAGGTGGCAGTGCAGACCAGTGTTTAGTTTTGAAATCCTGAAGCTTTTCTAAAACTTGCTTCAGCGGATGTTAAGGATGCTGTGATGTATATCATTGTTTTATTTATTTTTGCTTTGTGTTTACGATTAGAATGACTGTAAACTGTTCATAAACAGGCTGTAGTATAATGGTGCAGTGTACACAAATACTGTAAGTAGACAAAGTAGGTTAATATCATGATTAAAAATAAACTGTAGATTAGATGGAGGCTTCCTGATTGTGATGGATGCATACCAGTTTGATAAGCGTGAAAATCATGGGCCAAAGTCTCCTCTTTAATGTTTGTCTTAGGATTCCTCAATTCTGCATAAATGGGAAGAAATGTTAATGAAGATGAGTAGTAATGCACATTTTCACAGAACTGAGACCGACTGATTTTGATTTGATTGTGCGGCAAAATACCTCATCCACTGTTACGTCAAAGACTGCACAGTGCTTGATTTTAAATCGAGGCTTTAGATTATTGTGAGAATTGGATGTGGATTTCAAACAGAATAGTTTAAAGGCAGGAAATTTAATTTCTAGACTAGAATCCAAGAATGACTCTTCCTCAATCCTCTGAATCCATTGCATGCATTATTATGCACTAGTTTTAATCACTGCACCATGATGTCACCCAAAATTTATACATGTACGTCAGTTTTATCGTTGCCAAAAATGGCAAGATGAATGAATGTCACACACAGACACAGCTTTAACTTATTATAATATATCATCACTTTTCAGTGGCTTCTGCAGGTTGTCTTTGCATGAATGCATGTGCATATTTATGAGCATTGAATGAGCATTTACAGTGTGTGAATGTGCTAGTGATTTCCCAGTCGTTTGTGTGTGTTTGTGGTCGTGCTCCAGGGGTTTGTACATGACATGAGTCACTAGGTGTGTGTGTGTGTGTGCGTGTGCGTGCATGTGCGTGCGTGCGTGTGCATGTGCGTGCGTGTGTGTGTGTGTGCGTGTGTGTGTGTGCGCGCGCCATTCCTGTTTAAATTGGTTCAGAGCAGGGAGCCCTCAGTGCTACTCCTCCTGTCAGCTCTCATCTCCTGATAGCCATCTCTTAGAAACCTCATCTTTCCTCCCCCTCTGCCTTGTCCTCTTTTCCTCTCGTCTTCCCTTCTGGTTAGTTTCTTTGGTCTCTCACTGTTGTAGATGTCCTCAGAGAGATTTCCCTTCCGCTCTGTGTCCATGTTTCCCCTTCATCGCCCTAATGGGCCCAAGTAAAAACGAAAATAGAGAGAACGAGAGAGAGAGAGAGTGAGAGAAAATGACTGGGACATGCAAGTTGCCTGAGGTGGCTACATGGGTGGCCCCATGGGAAGGTTGCTATACTCTGGCCTTCCTGCTACCATTGGTAACCTCCCTGTCTATAATTTAGGGCCATCTCCTCTTATCACTTATGCTTTATTAGCTTTTTGACTAATGGCCTTTAAACCTGCTAGTATTCACTTTGGTTTGCTTTTATTCTGAGTGTGTATTAGTTCCCTGGAGAGAATCTGACTGAGCTGCAAACATTCAAGTGTTTAAGGGGAAAACAACAATGTTATTCACACTTGAATAACATTGTTGTTTTCCCCTCTTTCGAAATATTTTTTTTAACTGGTGAAAATGTTTGTAGTTTTGCAAAAGTGCTTACAAAACTATAAAATTCTGCATGATTACCTTCAGGATGTTTGTATGGAAGTGCAGGTGTCAGTAATGACATGATCACTCTCCTGGGTCATCAGCTGTTTCGTCTTCCTCTTTTACATGACTAATTCTGAGCGCTGAGCTAGCAGCACTAGCAGGATAAGGTTTTGAGCAAAAATTCAGTCAGAATCTGGGCCATTCTCTGTTTTGTAGCAACTATCAGCTGACATTAAAAAACTTTGATAGACACACCAGTTTCACAAAATGATGTATCTAATCATCATCAGCTGCCATCTGCTGGTTTTCTCTGTATGATTGAGGAGGCTATAAGTATGAACATCTTGTTTCAAAGTTCTGTTTCTAACATGGTAACTTTATCCATTACGTTTCCGACTAAACGTGGAATTTGTTCAGGGACTGGGTCTCATATTTGTCTGGAAACCACAGAGGTCACTAAGAGGCCTCTGGTTTTGTTTGTTAATGGCCTCTTGTTTGTTAATGTGACAACATCTCTGTGGGAGTTAGAAAGTCTAATGAAACTGAATGATGCAGCTGAATAAAACCACTCATTTGTGCTATCCATTCTTGTCAGTTTATTTGAACTTCTCTTGCAACTACCTTGCATGGTGCAGCTGTATATTTCTACGTTTCTTTAAATGTAGCACAGTCCCTCCTTGCGTCTCTTATAGTTAAGTGGAAATACAGCGCAAGATATTACATGGAGAGTTTTACCATCCCATTGAACAGATTACAGTCAGCAGTAAAAGAAATACAATGAATAGCAAATGTTTTATTAGTTAGAGGTGGGAATCACCATACATCCCACGATACGATATTATCACAATACTTAATGCACGATACGATATTATTGCGATTTCTTTTTTAAATATCTGCGATATTCAGATTCTGTACATAAAGGCAAACTTTATCAATATTCATTTTATCTAATATCAAAGTCTCGCACTCAGTCTCTCTCTCATTTCAGTCAGTTTTATTGTTGACAAACTTGAACGGTTTGTATTACAGTCTAGTCCAACTTAACTGAATGCAGCCATCTGGTATAGCTATTCTGAACTATGCAATTTATGAAAACTATGCAGCCCGTTCAGCAACTGAAGAATTTGAAAGTAAATTAAAACAAAATATAATTTTACATTAAATAAAAAAGTTTTAAACTTAATTAAAATAAAACATGTCTTAAATTAAAATAAGTAAACTGTCATGTTTATTGCTGCCAAAAAACAAGTTAAACACATTTGGACAGTGAAGGAATGTCAGGACTCTTGCTCAGAAAAAGGATCAACATGCTCTGAAGTCAGAGCACAAAAACTTTTTTTGTAACAAAATATCGATTTCTGCTGTCCCTGTATCGATACATTATTAGCAAACAAAATATCACGATACTACACAGTATCGATTTTTTTCCCCCACCCCTATTATTAGTTAATCGAAAGCAGAAGGTTTGATTTGGTTACTTGTGCCAATTCTAGTGTTCCTGCAGACGTTAGCAATACCAGTTTAAACAGACAAGGTGTCCTCTACTAACAGGCCACCTACCATCTGTGTGGGAATGTGCCTCTTTTGTAGCCATGTATGGTACACTTCTATGTGAATAAGTGTGCAGTATTGATAGTATGTTAATTTATAAGGAACATCTGTCAATTCTCAACATGTTGGCCATGTGCATTTGTGTGATTGCATAGAACACAGAAGACCCTGCCTCTCTACAGTCCTCTCTGGCTTTTTGTGCAGGGGAAGTACAGGATATTGGATGGCCCGGAGGTTTAGATACCAGATTTAAGTGCTGTAGAGGAGAACACGAGTGACAAGACACGACGGAAATGAGCTAAAGATAGTAATGGGTGGAGGAGGGGTTCACTTTCCACCAGGACACAGACTCCCAGAGGCTGCATAACAGCCTCACATTCACACATACCCACACACAAATACACACTGCTGCACTTGGGCAAACGTGCTCTTGTACACTTGGTCCAAGCACTTTCATTCATACTATATCCTCCCATAGTCTGTTTGGTTCACACTGTCTTTTACTCACATGGTTATGAAGGGATATACTGATAAAAATGCAGGAATATAGAACATTTATGCACCTGATATAAATTTACATGTAATGATTTGTGATTTTATGTAATTTAAGAACTTTACAGGTGTGCATATTCATATGTAAACTAGCACTGTGTTTAAAATAAAACCAGTGTCCAGTGTTTTTAAATACATAATGTATACAGGAGCATTCCTCTTAAGAGATGAGCTAAAAAGATTTAAAATCGTATACTGACCTGTTTTGTGTTTATTAATTTTTTATTTTATTTATTAATTTTTATGTTTTGTTTTTAAATGCTGTTCTGTCTTCTAGTCAGTAAACCATTAATAGTCATAAAATTAAGGAGTCACATATTTAACCTTGAGAGGCCAAATATGGGCAGCATTTTCCCTAATGCAGCTCACAGAGTGGAGCACAGTCTGTGCAAGTGAAATATTACTTAAGGCTTCCTGACCATATGACGACTCCATGCAGTCACAGCGGAACCCCTTCTTCAGACACTGTACACGTCACATAATGCTGCGAGACTCCCCATGGCGCTTCCAGTCTATCCGATGCTTGCATGTAAGTGTCCCAAAACTTGATCCTCCTCATCAAAAATACAAGAGAAGGGCAAGCCTTATTACTAATTCACAAGGTTCTCTCTTCAGGTTCACATCTGTCTTTTTTCCTCTCCTCTCCTCTTTCCCTCCTCCCTCTTTCCTTTTTCTGCTTGCCTTTAATCTCAACCTTGCGCAACACCGACTTACAGGAAGCACTTTGTGGTGTCCTCCAAACAAAGAAACATTTTTTTGTAACTCTTGATTGCTGTGTATAAAAATGGTGTTGCTTCTCTGTTTCTTAGATTAAATATGTTGCATAACCACAATTACGGATAGCATTTACATGCTTTTGTCAAAAAGGCCACTGTGTAAACGGTCTGCTCACGCTTTAACTTGACGTTCTCTAAAACCTGTCTACTTATGTAATGATCAGTTTACTGCTGTTTGTCAAACAGTTGTTTTCCAACATGAGCAGTTTGAC